GAGAGAGAGAGAGAGTATGAGTGAGATGGTCCGTGGTGCAGTCTCCACACGGTGTACAGGGGATTAGAAGCGGGCGCGTAAATAAAAATATCACGACGGGGGCGATTTATAACGTTGGATAACGAAGGAGATGCGCGCGCGCGCGCGTTTTCTCACCTAAAGAGAAAGAGACAACTGCGCGCGCGCGCTACGATCCTGAAATACGCGCCGCATCCGTAATTGCACGCGGAACTTCGCGTACCTTCGTGACGTATCCTCTCGCGAGGAATAGGGGGAAGATGGAAGAGGAAAGGGGGAGAGATGCAACGCTGCCTCCGTAGGAGGCTGGCCATAAATCTCTCGTGATTAGCCGCGAGATGCGAATTACTTGGTCGCTGACGCCATAGAGATGCGGCCTACATTGTTCACGGAGCGCTCCCGCGCTTCGATGCTTGCATAATTCATCGTCTAAGAAATATGGAATATGCTCTGCGAATCATCCGCGAATCACCACGCGACGTTTCCGAGCGAAACGAGAGTAAGCTAATCGTTTTGACGTCACGGGATAATAAGGTCGGGATAAATTTTCTCGAGATCGGTGTATTCGTCTCCCATTCTTTTTTTCTTTAGAAGTTACGTTTGATTTGGATTTGCAACAATTGAATGTCAATCAAGAGCTTATTCAGTTTTGTAAAAAAATAAAAACAACAGAAATAATAATATCCGATAAAAAATTTTATAAATTTTATAATTAGATATAATTATATATAATTATACATATAAGGCGTCATATATAAAATATGTCTATATATAAAAATATATAATTACACATGAAATGATGATATGTATGTTGTATATAAATGTATATCAATTTATGTAGTAATATATAATAATATGTAATCATATTTTGCAATATATATTTTTATATTTTTATATGTGGATATATTCTATATATAATTATTATAATATATGAAAAATTTGTTTTCGAGTTATTAATGAAATGAATGAAAAGAAAGAAGGATAATCAAAGATAATTCTCTTTAAAAGAAATTAACCTTAACTTAAATGAAATTAATCAATTTTTTTATGCATGTTTCAAATAAAATCTTGTGTTTTTGCAATGAATGCAGGATAATAGAATTAAGAAATTCAAAAACGCACGAACTTTACTTCATTGTTATTGCAATCTTCATTACCTTGCACGAGTGAGATACAACGACTTCGTATTCCTCTCTCGTTTATTCTAAATATCGTGCTCCCAAGAAGTATATTGAGGTAAGAAGAATAAACGTTATCGCTTCTAATTGTTTAAAAACAATCGTACGTCGCTGCTGTGAAGTTACATGTCAGAATCTACCGAATGTTCAAACTTTTTCGAAGTTTTCGAAACGGGAGCGATTCTTCGAGCCGGTCACAAGTCGAGATTCGAAACAACGGTCTGCGAAGATGGCGGTAAATCTATAGAGGGCACACTCACTGCCGAAGAACGAATCCCACGAATGTCTGCGGTGACGTCGGTTGCTAGGCTAAAGTCACGCCTTTTGTCGCGTTACGCATTCGTCCCGTCATCGGGGCTAATTTGACGTTTCGGAATAGAAAGAAGTATATTGTGTGTTATAAATTCTTTCGTAATTGATTAACGTTAATTTGCAAAATGAACAGGCTCTTCGGACGCGCGAAACCTAAGGAACCGCTACCAAGTATCACAGACTGCATTGCAGGCGTAAGGACAAATTTATTGTTGTTAAGAGATAACAATTATCACTATTTTTTATCACTTTATTACTGTGCTAATCGTGACGTTCATAATTCTCAAAATTTCACGTTAAATAGCGCAATTGATGTCGCGAAGAGTTAAGTGTTTTATGACTTCTTAATGTGATAGGGATTTTTTAGTAAACATGCTTTTTCAATCAAGGTTGATAGTAGAGCGGACTCTGCAGAGAAGAAAATAGCCCGGTTGGATGCCGAACTTAAAAAGTACAAGGATCAAATGGTCAAGATGAGAGATGGACCGGCTAAGAATGCGGTGAAGGCCAAGGCTCTGCGTGTATTGAAACAAAGAAAGATGTACGAGGCCCAAGTAGACAATTTGCGCCAGCAGGCCTTTAACATGGAACAAGCAAACTATGCTACTCAGACATTAAAAGATACCCAGGCGACTGTAGTTGCTATGAAAGAAGGCGTTAAGCAAATGCAAAAGGAATTTAAGAATATCAATATTGATCAGATCGAGGTATGCTAGAAAACAATCTACTACATAAGCTTTGTTTAAAATGTTAGCTCAATCTTACATGTATCATTGTTATATACAGGATATGCAGGATGATTTGGCAGATATGTTAGAACAAGCTGATGAGGTACAGGAAGCGATGGGTCGCAGTTACGGAATGCCAGAAATTGATGACGACGAACTGGCAGCAGAATTAGAAGCTCTTGGTGATGACCTTGCTTTGGATGAAGATACCAGCTATTTAGACGAAGCTATTAAAGCACCTAGTGCTCCTGACAAAGAACCTGGAGCAAGTTCTATTAAGAACAAGGTTAAACAATTATTTTTATAAGAATATTTGACAATTATAAAAGAGAAACAAGAAATTTATAAATTTTTAAAATTTTGTAAATAATCAAAAAAAGGGGAGAAGACATAGCTTATGCTATATAAAAATTATTTAAGTTCCTAAAATAACTTTTTTTTATATGCTTACAGGATGGTGTTCCAGTAGATGAGTTTGGCTTGCCACAAATACCTGCTAGTTAAATATTTAAGAATACATCAAAATTATGAATAAGGCAAATAAGCTTAAGATTATTCCTATGCATGCCCAAAGATGTATGATCTTTTCAAAACAGGACAGACAGCTTTTTTAATTAACACTCATACGACACAAATAATGCTCTAACAATATTTCATTAACGTAACGCGCAAAAGATGTTTAGTTCCATATTAATAGATTTTTGTTACTGTCTTCAAAGTCACTATTTTTATTAAATTAGTATTATGTTGTACATATATATATATATATATATATATTAAGAAATTAATAAATATTAATAATATATGTAGAGAAATTTGTTTATATGCATATAAATAACACACAATACACATTTATGTTCCATCTTCAAATTCTTTTTAGACTGATTAAATTACTTGCAATCTAGAGATATTTGTCTCTTCAATATTTCGTATTTCTGAGTAACATTCACATAAACTAAGAATGTTTTCCTTGCTTTCCAAAAAATGTGTTTCTTCAAATCCATTTACCTGTGTATAATGATGAACGTGTGCCTACAATGCAATTTATAATAAAATATAATTTATAATAAAATATATATTTTATAATTGTGTACTCTTTAATTTATATTGAAAAACTTTTGCATGCTTATTTACTCGCAGATTTTAAAAATAATAAACATATCCTAATTATTTTAAGACATAAATATTTCTATTTAAAACAAAAAAGAAAAAATCGTATTTAAATTATTTTGTACCTTTTTCTTATATAATGTAGAAAATTCTCGGATTATATCTTTGAATAATGCGGATATAGCGGATGAATTAAGGAGACACAATAATGACGAAGAATGTCCCGCTGGGGGAATGGAACATAATCCTATTTTCATACAATCCTTACTCCATGAAGTAAATTTTGATTTGTTTTGAAACCTATGAAAAAATATAATACAAAATAATCATTAAACATTGCCACAAGTAAAAATAAAGAACAATATCTAAATCTATAAAAAAAGAAGAAAGATATATTAAATACCTTTCAATGTTTCGTTTTATATCCGTTAAAGTAGTATTACCCCTTGCGATATGTGCAGCAGCAAGAATGACAGAAGCAGATTGAAGAGGATCCAACTTAATTAATTGATTATTTCGCGACCATGCATTGGTAAATAATTCATCCTGTAATCTTAAACATCAAACTAATATTCATTGTTTTATTTTAGTTCTAAAATGACATTTAAAGAAAATGAAAAAGGAAGTTACTATACTTTGTTTCTTGCGTAGTGCACATATTTGGGGCAGATAAAGTTACAGGGCTGATGCTGCTAAATATATAATGCAATTTCGGATAAGGCACTAGATTTGTAGCTACTTCGTTCATATCCATATTTAAACTTCCTGGAAATCTGGATCCACTAAAACAAATTTTGCTGTATATATAATGCCAAAAATCTGACATGACAAATTTAACACTTGAATTACCTGGTCAAATGCAAGAGCATGTTGACGATGATACTGTTCATATCTTGAAACGGCCTACACGAGACATTGTAATTTATTTGATTCATATTATTTCGTTTAGTCATTTGAGCGTTACATATATCTAATAGAGCTTTGTTTTCCACAGGAAGTACACACGTGGCGTGTTCTAAAAGTTCTTGAGTCGCAAGTAAAGTATTATAAGGGGCAGTAACAGTATCTTGTGTATTTGCTGGATAAACGGATGATACAATCCTAGAATATTGATGATATTATTCTCGATTCTTGCATCCTCAAGTTACAGTGAATTCAAATTTTCTTAAAACTTAATTAATTTAATCAATATTTATTCATATTAATTAGAAAGTACCTTTCTACATGGGGATAATTATCTTTTAATAATTTTAATGTTGCAGTTCCTAATCCAGATCCTGTGCCACCTCCCAAGGAATGCATCAATAGAAATCCATGAAGTCGATCACACTTTTCGACTACACGTCTTATACTATTTTCTAAACGATCATAATATTCACTGCCATGAACATGATATCCTATTGCCCTAGAAAAACCAAATTTTTATATTGCGCATTTTTATATTTAAAATAAACTTGTTTCAAATTACCAATTATTTCCAGATCCTGGATAATTTGTCACAAAACATGTTTGATCAAATAATTGGCGCAAGGGACTTTGCTTAAACCTAGATACAACACTATCTTCCATATCTATTAAGACAGCCTGTGCTTAAAAAAATTATTATATCAAATTATATTTATATTTAAAATTATATTATATTTAAAATTATTATATAAATTTTAAGAAATTAAATGATAATGTACATACTCTAGCTTTAATTTTAGCTGCATTTAAATCAGCTACATCTTGAAAATAAAATTTGTCTGTACTATTAGGGACATGAAAAAAACTGGGAAATGCATTAGAAAGTTCATCGATATGCTTGAGATGATTTCGTTGTACTTTGAGCAGGTTTACACTATCAGTAGTAGTCTGGATGCCATATTCATGTAAAGCTAAAGGCCAGAAGGCTGATCCTATTTGATTTCCACATTGGCCAACTATGATACATAAAAAAAAAGAATAAAAATTTTTCATAGAACATTATGATTTCCTAAAATTTCTTAAAAATATATTTTAAAAACCTCTATATTATATTTTTTAATTAAACATGTTATTCGTTTGCTTTTCAAATCTATATTGTTTTTATTGAACAAAACTGTTCATATTACATTAATTGTGTTTACCTTGTATTGTAACAAATTGACTCATTATATCCAGAATTTAACGTGACCTATTAGTGGTTCGTTATTAAGTCATAAAAATTGCCATGCTGAAAATTATTTCCCGCCTATGATCATGAGTTTGTTTTTTTATTTTAATTGCTTCTGAACATTACACTTTTTATAAATGTCAAGTAAATCTATTCTTGATGTGAAAGAAAATAGAGACAGTAATGCCAGACAACAATGACTCCAGAACAGAGTAAAAAAAAAAACAGGAAGAATGAAAGAACACGGAACAGATACTTCTATTGTATGTACACAGAGATCTTGCTTTTACATCTGTCTTTATAACTGTACTGTTATGTTTTATCTTTCTTCCCCTCCTCTCTCTCTCTCTCTCTCTCTCTCTCTCCAACAACTAAATATGTCTATCTTATTTTAAGTGCAAAAAAGTGCAGTACATGTATCCTTACTTACTAGAAATATATTTTGTTAGGACCTAGGGAAGATACACTAAAATGAATAAGAATAAAAAATTAAAAACATAGTATTATGAATAGAAAATTATAAATTTTTTCATCATAAGAAATGCTTCAGTATACAATCAAAGAAATGTTCTTTCATTGAAAATAACTTTTCTATAATTTCTATATTTAATTTTTACTCCTTAGTTCTGTTCATTGAATCTGAGTCCTAAATACAATTTATATTTAAAATAGGGACATATAATTAGACATATAATTAGACGTTGAAGAGAGAAATATGAAAGGCATATCTCTGTGTACACACATACAAAGAGTGAATACAATCGATTTCACTTTGTAAATGAAATCGATTGTATTCACAATCCTCGATTCGTGAGATCTCGCAACAGTTAGAAGATCGATTCGTCGTATTTACTCGCGATAATTCACCGTTCAAAAATCTCCTATCGGACTCCATCAGCGATATGTGGTATGCGGTGAATGTAACGGTGAATAAAAAAGACTGTGAGCCAAGAAAATGGATAGATTAACCGATAATAAACTGGCAAAATGGTTTTTCCTATGTCTTTGCTTGTCTCAGTGCGCCTATGCACGTCTTATTTACGAAGACTCAAGTAAGTTAACCTCTTCATCCCCTGGGAAATAAATCTGATTCGATTCTCTTATCATAAATTGAAGAATCACCTTTGTCCGATTCTTATCATAAATTGAACCTTTGTACTGTGCAACAAAAGGCTTATTTTTTTTACAACTTCTTATAATTCACGTTCATTTCACGTTGAAGAGAAAAAAAAGAAAGATAAATCGCGCGAGGTGTTCAGCTAAAAAAAAAAACAGACCTAATATTTTACTTATATTTTTTGATATTAATTATTTTGAAATAATTACGAAATAATATATATTAAGTGATACGTAACCATTGAAACATTCGGAACAGATCGCTTATCGAATTGAAGCTATTTAATTTTCTTATCAAAATATATTTTAAAATAAATATTTTAAATATATTTAATAATTAAATCTTATCATCCATTTCTAATTATAAGCTTACTAAGCTTAGAATATAAATAATATATTTATATATTTTAAATAATTTAATGTAATAAACTGAAGATATTATTTAAATGACAAAAATGTAATAGATAGTAGATATTTGACGAAGCAGAATCTTGATTGCCTGGTTTGCCTCTCATTTTTAATTTAGTGATTTTATATATTTGTTTCAGAAATAAACTTTCTGAGTGCAGATGACAAAATACAAAATCATAGTCCTGGCCTAAAAGTGTACTGTCACAATGCTTCCTCAAAATATTTGACGCATATATGGAGAACTATGACTGTAAGAAGCTTCTAAGATACTGTATATTTAAAAAATTTCAATATACTTATGATATAAATTTTTGAAACTACAGATGCATCTAAATATCAATACAGATTCTTCATATGTTTTATATGATGGCAAAACACCAGATGAAGTTTATCAAAAGTATGATCAAAATGAAAAATCATGGAGTCTCAATCTGTTTGATACAGGAAAAGCAGGACATAGGCAATTTAAGATTGATCCCTTTGAAAATTCATGTATAGGCATTTATATAGATTCTCCAAATCAATATGGTTATATGATGACTTTAATAGACACACGTAAGTATATATATTCATTTTATTATTCTGTAACATGTCAGTGTATGTTATATTTTTCTTTTTCAGGTATCAATGTATGGGGAGTAACAATGATGGTAATAGGTATTATAATTTTCTGGTGTGCCAGGATATTAAGTTGGAATTCGGTATTTTATTATACTTGTGGCATAGTACTTGGAGTAACTTTGTCTCTTATAATTTTAATATACATCGCTGGGAAATTAATACGGGTAGTTATTTTAATATAATAATACTATATAATACTTGACATATGTAATAAAACAAAACATTTTATTTAAATAAAAATAAAACATTTTATTTAAAATATCTTTCTATAATTAAGGGAAAAACTGTGTACATAATCTTTGCTGCATCGATGAGTCTTTATATTGCTAAAACGTTATGGGAAAATATGCAACTAATTGTGATGCAATATAGAGAATGGGTGATGTGGTACATACTTGTTACATCTCTGATTAGCTTCATAATCTGCTATCGTTTCGGTCCAGTTACTAATGCGAGAACAAAACAAATAATACAATGGTTTTTGCAGGTAAGCTATATTATATGATGTTTATTTTTAACTGTTGTTATAAATAGTTTTATAGCTTGTAGGGTTGACACTGGTTTATTATAGCAGTTACTTCCGCGAGGCATCCTTTTCGTGCTGTATTATATTTATACTTCTTTATAATTTTCCAAAAGCAATATTTGAGCGAGGAAAAAGGTATTGGTAAGCATTTAGGATGTATAGTATTATTTCTGATGTTTTACAGCCTATTTTAATTACATATACCGCATAGAAATGCAGTTATATAAAAACTTTATTTTTCAGATTTAAATAAAACTCGAATCCATTGTGTACATATTTATCTTCTTCTGTTTTGTGTTAGTCTTTTTCAATGGCTTCATGTATATTTTAATAATGATTTTATAATTATTTAATTATCTGCATATATAAAAGCACTGTATGTTTTGCTAATATATGTGTATGTGTGTGTGCTTAAATATATTGAACAGCACTTATACGGAATGTTTTATTTTAATTTATCCTCAAAAATTTTCTTTATTTTTGATCGTAGAAAAAAATTTTTTAGACTAAAATAAAGTTTCGAGAAGGTTGCATGATTATGATATTGATTCATTTGCAGATGGCACCACTATCGAAATTTTATGGTCGTTATTTTTTTAAATGAAATCATTTTTTGTTACATTATATGATTCTTCTGGATATAAAAATATTAAGATATAAATGTCAAGAAGTTAATAATTTACAAGAATATATTAAAATATGCTAAAATAAAGTACAAAATATCTTGTAAATTATTTATTTTTTGACAGTTTTACCTTAATATGTTTATGTTCAAAATAACGAAAAGAGTTATATTAAGTAACAAAAGATACATAATTCCATTTAAAAAAATGGCAACCATAAAAAAATTACAATAGTAAGACATTTATAGTTGAATCAATATCATGATTATGTGATTTCCTCTAAACCTAATAATTTTTACATTTTTTTTCTATAATCGAAAATAAGAAAGTTTTTGAGGAGGAAGGGAGAGGTAAATTAAAATGAAATATACCCTATATAATATAACATCCTATTTTAATTGTGATATACAATTATTCTACATATATTTTATTTACAATTTTATTCATATATTTCTAATAAATGTTTAAGCAATTTTTGAACAATTATTACAATGTACTTTATATATGAAGCAATTGTATTTTCAGTTTTTATAATAAAATGTATTATATCTTTTAGGTTATACATCTTTACATTATTCAATTTTGATTAAAACTAATATTACAAATTTTCACAAGTACATAAGAAACGTTATAAGTGCATTATTAATTTGTCAGATATCTAATAATCTTGATTTATTTTTGGACATCTTTGGACTTGGAAATTTTTTAAATATATAATAATAAATTTATTAAATTTATTAAATATGAGTACATTTATCTATATATAAAGGTTTTTTTTTCTTTTTTTTCATATTTTACTTTGAAATGCAAAAAGTTATCAAAAATAATGTACCATTCTTTCTTTTTTTTTTCATGAGGCGAGCCATGTTTTCGGAAAAACAGAAATTGTTAAGTGAGGATCAATATCGTCAAGAAGGAATACGACAAACTAGGAAAGCTTTAAAAGAATTACAGAATTATTGCTCCAGTCCAGAATGCAATCCTTGGAAAACAGTTTTAAGACTAAAAGATCCCATAAGGTTATAATTTATTAAATCAAACATTTTAGATAAAAACTTTAAAATTAGCAATGCAGATATAAAGATATATTTTAGATTTGCAAGATTCATGGAAGGAGAATCACATTTACTAGAAGATGAAATTGACGAACATGAAGAAGAAATTTCGAAGATTCTAGAAAAAGATGAGTTCACGGATGATGACGATTCTTTCTAAATATAAAGTATAAAATTTCTAGATAAAAATTCAGTATTGAGTAGAATTTTTTTATTTATTTCTTAACAACGTTAGTTGTTAGGAATAGGAAGCGTTGATGTAATGATATACACAACAGAATTTATTTTTTTGTGTAACTTAAACGTTTTTTCTGAACAGAAGTAAGTTCTGTGAAGTACTTAAAGACTGTGTACTTAAAGAAGTGGATTGTTTGTCTATGTCAGTGATTATGTTCGGTGGAACGTTTGTTTGGCATTGTTGGAAGTTTTATGTACTTGAGATTGATTACTCTTCTAAATTTAAAAATATAATTCGATCTCTCAGCACACACAGAAAATTTTTAATTTGCAAAACAAATAGTCTGCTGAGATCAATGTTTATTTCTATATTTTGTATGATTTTGAAAATGTAGTTATGTTTATGAAATAATTATTTTTATGAGTCTTGTATCTCATATATTTGTGATGTTTTTGATTATACAAGAGAACATATAAAAATAAATAAAAGATTTTCATAATACAATTACTTTATTGTTTATTTTTATCCTGATTTTTCTTAGCATATAAGATTATCGAAACAAATAATTTAGCGTAATATCATTCACAATCAAACATACGACAAAATATGAATTGCGCAAATATGTTATTCATGTTGTTTAAATTATTCATATACAATTAATATTTTTATCAAATTTGTCTAACATTGATTTCACATAAGAATTTTTAGCGTTTTAACAAACTTGTTGAGTAATTTTCTTTTTTACTATATATTTTCGTATTATTCAAAATGACGTGACAAAGATTTAATATTGCTTTGAACTGACAAGTCATAAGATAATCAAGATAAGGAGATCCAAGTATAATTTAATAAAAAATATTTTATTAAATTCGAAATTTATAACTTGCTTTTAAGAATGAGAAATCAAATTTAAGGAACCTTTCCCATTACTTGGAAGAGTTTATACATCATATTAAACGAGACAACCATGGCCTTAAGACTAGGAGGTAACGAAACAGTATTGTTTATCATATTCACGATTCTATGGAATACTGGTAAGAGAGTCCTCCAAAAGAATCTCGACATTAATGGAAAAGCTATTCGTAGTAATGCACGGCCTGGGACGCCAATTATTTGAAACACGTAACATACTATGGTTTTGGCTGTTCCGAACGGATGTTTTATGATATTCGTGAGCAAATCAGGTAACTTTTCTATTTTGGGACACACATCTTTATCCCCCAGGAATGCGCGAGGTATAAAGCTTAGAAAGCTTAAAATTTTAGCTATAAGACTATTATCTAAGCCAAGTAACTTTAATATCATCTTTGTTGGAGCGGATACCATCTTTGTGGGTAATGATGTAATCTTTTCAATTGGTGTTGTAATCGTTTCAATCGGTGTTGTAATCGTTTTAATCGGTGATGTAATTGGTGAGAACAAACTGGCTCTTCGCTGCCTTGAGAAAGATTTTTCAAAAGGTGCATTTGCATACTCCAATTCGTAATTTCCATAATCTAAAAAGTTGCAATAAAAGAATAATTATTGTAATACAAATATTAATTCTATATAAATTTATATTTATATAAGATGTATATACTAATATTGTATCAAATAATTATTTGTTGAAGTAAGTTCTGATTAATTTATCAAAAATTAATCAGAAGATATATAGAGAAGAGCAATTTAACAAAAAAACAGATACGTAGTTCGTAACTCAAAAAATTTTATGTATAATTCTTATTGAACGATATTTAATATTACAATTTTGGAAAGTATTACAATTGTAATTCCACAAAGAGAGCCAAAATATTTTTAGATAGCAACGTTAATATATTATAATCATATATATTTTTAATATATTATTTTAAAACTTACTTTCTGTTTCTTCTGCCAAATCGACATTTTCTTCATCGATGATACGGCAGGATCCGTATACCACGACTAAACAAAGAATTAGAATCGATATCTTCATTTTATGAATAATTAGTCTCAGATGATGAATATCGAACTTAGTTGGGTATCCCGACTGTGAACTTTTATCTGGTTCCTTGCTTCGTCGGAACTTTTTCCGGAAAGCCACTTTGTCGAGGTGTATCACACCTCTTTTTAACGGCTTCTTTCGGCAGAAATCCTTAGCAAAATAATTAGACAAATGCAACTTTTTGACAGCCTGACATTTTAACTAACGTAATTGATACTATGAGCGATAATGCGGTTGCAAATAATGTTCGGAGTCAGACGCTGCGATGTTTTAAATTGATGTTTTTTCTTGCTAAATTGTTTTCGCTCGGAATTGAGAATTTATTTTATTCTAAGCGTTCTAAATTTTATTCTAAGATCTATTAAAAAATTACCCTCATTAAAAACATATGTACCGAAATTTGCAATAAACTTGCTTGGTTGGTAGCATTAGTAGAACTAATAATACAAACGACTTTTCACGGACAGTACTGACGCATAATGCATTACGTATGTAAGTTCTGTTATCGGTACTAATTTCGTATGGAAAAACTCTGTCGATGCCTATGATGACATTTACAGTCCAGTCTTCTATTATCGTTGCATTTTGGCATGATGAAAAAGATTTCCGGGTTTTTCTTTATGAGATAATATGACAGGTTGTGTATGTAAAAATATTCTGAAACTAGACACATAATTTAAAATATTAACTGAAAGCAAATAAAATATTGTTTTCACATATGTGTAAATGAACTTGTCAAAGTAAATTATTAATCGGTTTCGTAATTCTTCAACAAAAAGATGGTCTTAGGCTCTTTTTTTATTAATTATTGCTAAGTTTAGTTTTCTAGGTACAAAATAAAAACAATATACACACATCACGTATATTCTTAAAGGCTAAGATAATTATTTTATAAGCAAATAATTTGTTGAAATTTTTGTTTCTTTTTTATTGTATTATTTGATTTTGCCTTTTTAAGAAGAAACTAATTATATGTTACTTTATTATATGTTATTTCATTTGCTCGTTCGATACGATTAAGGAAGAAAGGGAAACTTGAAAGAAAAAAAAAGCGAGCATCGTGAAATAATTGTTTAATTTAGGTTCTGTGCTACTTGCTATTTTTTTAAGAAAAGACGTGCAAATTACATAATATAATTAATCTGAATAACAAATAAAATAAAATTATATCTTTCAACATAATTGAAAGACCTTAAATTTAATCATTAAAATAGACAAATTAATTAGAATATATATATATATAT